GTTCTTTGGGCAGGGTTAATTATATATATATATATATTTATTTACTTATATATAGCCCCGCATTCATATATATTTTTTCCAGGATCCAATGTTCTCATGTACCACTGGGTACAGGCTCCACATTCTGGGAACTGCTGCCCCAGCCCAACTCGATCTCCCTCCTGCTTCTCCCCTCTCCCCGACCCAGCGCTGGCTTCTGAGCAGAGCTACACCCATAGTCCCTTGTCCTCTTCCTTTGCCCTGTGACTCCAAGGTCAGCACTGGCCTCACACAGCCAGAATTTTCTGGTCTGACTTGATGCCTGGGGTTCACTCTGGGGGCTGCACCAGGTCTCTTGGGTTGGGGGGGTCACTGAGGTCCACTCTTGTGACCTATGAGGAGAGGCTGAGTCTATGTATCCCTCTGGTTTTGTAAATAAACAGGAATGGGATTTGGGCCACTACTACAAGGCTGACACACCAGATAAGGACTAGCCCTTGCTTTGTAAATGCTCATGGAAGGACTGGGTCAGGGAAGACACTGGGCTACATAAATCTCATTTCAAAAACACTAAGAGTTAACCTTTAATGTGCCAAAACGTTTACAAAAAAACCAACCAAAAACACAACAACAAACATTTCCTATGAAAATCTTTCTAGAATGTCTGCTTTCCCAAACGGAATGCAGCAAATCCCGTCCTGCCGTGTGGCACCATTGTGGGCCTGAGTATAGAACACACGGCAGTGCTGGCATTTGGGGTCTTCTGTCCGCTGCCCTGTGGCTGGCAGTGGGTCTGCCTCTGCAGCCTCCCTGCCTCCTTTCTGTTTATCAGACAGAACTGGGCTCACGTCCTGCCTCTAACATGAACTTGGTGAGTTGCGCTTCACTTCTTCAGCTTCCTCAAATGTCAAAAGAGCAGTAACAGACCATTCCTATGGAGTTCTTGTGCAGATTAAAAGATATGACAGTTTTAAAGCACAAAGATCAGTCTCTGTCTGCTATGTATGTATGGAGCACCACGGCTGGTAAAACTGTGTAGAATAAGAGTAAATAAATTCTTATTGACAGCCCAGTGGCCTCTCCCACAGCAAAGGCTTTTTGAGTTATTTCAGCTACTCAGAGCCCTTTTATCTGGATTCTGGCTTTGAGAATTTGTTTAATCAAGTGCTCAGAACGTGTCTGTGGCTCACCTACTCAAGTATTTCCCTCTTCCACGTATCTCCCTCACTTCCTCCTCACCTACTGCAAGGGGGTTAGTATATACAGGGGTTAAGAGGTGGGCTCTGGCCCTGGACGGTGTGGCTCAGGTGGTTAGAGTGTCTTCCTGCACACCAAAGGTGGCAGGTTGGATCCTCTGGTTGAGGCATGAGGATCCTCTCTCTAAAATATCAAAATTTTTTTAATTAAAAAAAAAACAAAAGTGGGTTCTGGGCAACTCACCTGAGCTGAATCCTGACCCCACCACTCATTCAGCCAGGAAGCTCTGGCAGGTTATGCATCCTTCCCCAGTTACCACGGTGAGGGGTAGGAGCAACAGGGGCCCTCACCTCCCTGGCTGTCAGTGTGACTCACCAGGCAGTACCTAGAACAGTGGTTCTCAACCTGTGGGTCGCGACCCCTTTGGGGGTCGAACGACCCTTTCACAGGGGTCACCTAAGACCATCGGAAAACACATATATAATTACATATTGTTTTTGTGACTAATCACTATGCTTTAATTATGTTCAATTTCTAACAATGAAATTGGGGGTCACCACAACATGAGGAACTGTATTAAAGGGTCGCGGCATTAGGAAGGTTGAGAACCACTGACCTAGAACCTCCCGGCTGGTGTCTCCTGCACGTAATCTTTGTTCCCACTTACCATACCCTCCCCAGCCTTCGCTGCCTCCGCATTCTCCATTCCTACAAGATAATCAGCCTAAACTTTGGGGCCCAAAGGAAGTTTGGGGCTTTCCCAAGAGAGGACAAGCTTTGGGTTATTTGATGATTACTCTCTTATTTTCAGTTTGGGCAAAGATAAACAATCAACTTCCTGTCTCTGTCTATAGATTGTATTTATCATCTCCACCAGCCAGGGCACATGTGCTTCTGAGGGCCATTCAAGAAACTGAAGGGTGCAGAAGCTGGCAGAAACATGTCATGCTTGTGTTTGCAGTCACCTAGATAAGGAACAACTGGAGTGGCTACACCTGTCACCTCCTCCATCCTGACCAGCCCTCCCCTAGAATGTCCTTATTTTATTACCATGTTTCCTATTGACCATCAACTAGTATCACATTCGATTTATGACTATTTCCCCTTATCTTTAATTGCTGATCAAAGTTCTGCACTCTTTTTTTTTTTTTTCCCCTTTAGCTACAGGAAATAACTCAGACTCCTTGGCCTAGAATTAATTTTCCAGACTTGAACTATCTGGGGTGTCTGGAATGTTCCTAACATTGACGAACATTTAAAAAAAATTTTTTTTAGCCCTAGCCGGTTTGACTTAGTGGAAAGAATGTTGGCCTGCGGACTGAAAGGTCCCGGGTTCGATTCTGGTCCAGGGCACATACCTCAGTTGCAGGCTCCTCCCTGGCCCAGGCCCTGTCTGGGGCTCCTGTAGGAGGCAACTAATCAATGTGTTTCTCTAACATCAATATTTCTCTCTGTCTTTCCCTCTTCCACTCTCTAAAAATCAATAGAAAAATATCCTCAGGTGAAGACTAAAAAAAATAAAAAATAATAAAATAATTTTTAAAAAACTTTAATTGATTTTTGAGAGAAGGGAGAGGGAGAAACATAAATGTGATCAGCTGCCTCCTACACGCCCCCTACCGGGGATGGAGCCCACAACCCAGGCCTGTGCCCTGACCAGGAATCAAACCGGTAACTGACTGTGCCCTGGATGAGCCCAACCGAGCCACATCAGCCAGGGTGACATCAGCTAATATTTAATGAGCACTTACATGGGGCAAACCTGTGGTGTACGATTCGTTACCACAACATGATGATGTAGGTATTATTATTATGCCCATGTTATAGATGATAACACTGAGGCACAGAGAGGCTAAATAATTCTGTTAGAAAGTGGCAAAGTTGGAATTCAAATGCGGGTCTGCCTAATGCAAAAGCCTATGCATGCTCCTCTCAGTCCATGCTGCCCTTGGCTTCAGGATCCGCATTAGTGAACTGAGGCTTCATGGGTTTGGGATCTTTGGCTCACATTCGGGAGGCTGCAGGAGAAAGGAAGGGAGGCTGGACTCCAGGGGAGAGATGGTGACAATGGAGATGTGGGCGTGAGTAGCAATTCCCCTCAGGGAAGTTATAGCTGAGTCCTGCCATCATGGGGTAAACTGTCCCTGAGCCCTTTCCTGGGCTTTCTTTTCTTTAGCTACAGGAAATAACTCAGAATGGAGACAAATCTGAAGTGGTTTGAAAGGCTTCGGGATAGCAGTGTGTGCAGAGGTTAGGGACACAAGTGTTCAAATGACACTGCTCAGATGCTACTTCCTACTCATGTGACCGTAAGCAAATCACTTTCCTCTCGGTGCTTCAGGTGCCATAGAACAAAGCAAAAGATCTGTGACTGGCAAAGAGGACCCGGTGGCGGGGCATGTAGCGCCCACCACATGGCTGTGAAGGCCAGGCCCCGGGCCTGTGGGACACAGACAGAGAGGTCACTAGGCTCCGAATCCTGGAGCCGGCGTGCAGGGCCAGTCCGTGCGGGGGGCGTGGGAAACCACAGGTAAGATACTTGGGTCCCATGCACATGACCCTGGCGGGCTGTTTAACGCTCTGCACTCACAGTTTCTCATCGGTGGAATGGGACAATCACCAAGCTCACAGCTAAGAAGGATTAAATAAGTTAACATCATTGCAGTGCTTAGAACAGTGTCCGGCACACAGCCCTCATTCACTGAGTTCTTTCTTTCCATAAAAATGGTAAAGAACGGTATATTCTTTTATTATCTGACTTTTTTTATTTAATATATTGTCAGCATGTTTCCATGTATGCATACATATCCAAATCATTGTTAACAGCACTGTTATGTTAATACTGTTAACAGTATTATGTTAGGCTAACATGATTGCAATGACCTGCCATTAATTTTACCATTCCCACTGTTGTTTCTAATTTTCTGCCATTATATACTGAGCTGAATATCCTTATAGATAAATCATTTCCTTAAGTATTCTTTAAATTTAAAAATTTAACTTAATTAAAAATACCTGGGTCGGGAAGGGCAGCTGGCCTCACAGGCTGCCCCTTTTTCTGTTCATCCTCCGTGTTTCTTACAGAAGCTGCCCAGGGCCTTCCTGGCTTCTCGGCACCCGGGAAGTCTGGGACAGAAGGCCTGATTTCAGGAACTGGTTTCCCTGAAACAAGGTGGAAGGGAAGAAAGGTGTTATCATCCAGTGAAGTGGGACAGCCATCGGAGGCTGGTCTAGTCCAGGTTCTGCCTCGAACGCACAGCGTGCCCCAGCGAGTTCTCTCCCTCGGAGCCTCGGACGCTCTGTCTGTAAAATGTAGTGGTTGGTCAGGACAATCTCCTGTGATCGCTCCAGCTCTGACATTCTGAGTCAGAACACCTGGTTTCTAATCCTACTAGCTGTGCCCTGGCCAGGTGGCTCAGTTGGTTGGGGTGTCATCCTATACACGAAAAGGTTTCGGGCTCGATTCCCGGTCAGGGCACATACCACGGTTTCGGGTTTGATCCCCAGTCAGGGTGCATTCCAGAGGCAACTCATCGATGTTTCTCTCCCACATCAATGTTTCTCTCTCTCTCTCTCTCTCTCTCTCTCTCTCTCTCTCTTTCTCTCTCTCTCTCTCTCCCTTCCTTTCTCTAAAATAAATAAACATATCCTCAGGTGAGGATTTTAAAAAAATGTAATCCTACTAGTTGTGTGACAGACAAGTCACTTTTTTTAAAAAAAATATGTTTTTATTGATTTTTAGAGAGAGAGGAAAGGAGAGGGAGAAGGGAGAGATAGAAGCATTGGTCAGCTGCCTCCTGCACTCCCCCTACTGGGGATCAAGCCTGAAACCGGGTCATTTGTGCATGGGTAGATGCTCGACCACTAAGCAACACCAGCCGAGTAAAAAGTCACTTTCATTCCAAGGGCCTGTTTCCTCACCTATAAAAGGAAGATTGTGTTAATATCTGCTTGCCTACCTCACAGACTGTTGGGAGGGAAATATGAGAACACAGGCATGAAAGGGCTCTATAGCCCAGCTGGTGTGGCTCAGTGGTTGAACATCGACCTATGAACCATGAGGTAACGGTTCCATTCCTGGTCAGGGCACATGCCCAGGTTTCGGGCTCCATCCCCAGTGGGGGGCATGTAGGAGGCAGCCAATCAATGATTCTGTTTCATCATTGATGTTTCTTTCTCTTTCTGCCTTCCTCTCTCTGAAATCAATAAAAACATATTTGAAAGAAAAATGAAAGGGTTCTATAAATTATACATTTCCCTGAACACGTGGGGTAGTTAAATTATCCATCCTGCTAAGTCCCTAGTTGATCCCCTGAATATAAAAGTTCTGGCCAGTCCTACAGCTTCCCCTTCCACAAGCAGTGGGAACATATGCATCCTTCCCTGTTCTATAGACGGGGACTCTGAAAATAGCAGCTACGTCAACTGAGTACCAACACTGTGACACCCAGGCCCAGCTTTGCATACATCAAATCCGCACAAGGATTTTCCATTTTATCCCAGTTAGAGATGAGGAAACTGAGGCCTGGGCGGGTTAAGTGACTTCCCCAAGATCACACAGCTGGGCAGACAGGGCTGGCCAAAGGAGCCTGGGTGGAGGTCACCTGCCTTCTGTAATCACTTCCCCTTTGCATCGATTTGGGAAACCCCAAGGTACTGCCAGGGTGTCTACACTGGCTTCCACCCAGCTTCTCTATGTCAGGCAGCTTCCTCCATTGCTGCCCTGGTGTCATCTCTCCCCGCAGCCGCTGCCTCCAGCTCAGAGGCCTTCAGATCCCTCCCTGGCTGCATCTCACTAAAATACAGATCTGGCCTCATCACTCCTCTGCTGAAAGCCTTCATGACCCCATCATCCAGATAAAGAATATACTCTTCACCTGACTCCTGATAGCTCCCCATTGCCTCCAGATCAAATCCAAATTCTGCAGCCCTGCATGCATGGCCCCTCACTCTCTGGTGGTTTTCAGTAGACCCATATTTGGAAACCACAAAAATGGGGGCACCAAAGTCCCAGGGAAGGCTTCTGCCTTGTTAGCTCTCACACCTGCATCATCAGGTGGAGCTGAGGCAATCCCCCTCCAGCCTTTGAGTCCCCAGTAGCATCCATTCATTCCAAAGGTAAACTGTCTCTCTCTAAACAAAACTGATTGTTACCATGGAGCCAAAGCACCTCAAACACAAGCTTTGGGACTAGAACAATATTAATGGTGCCTAAATGCCTGGCACTACACTTGTATGGCACCAAGCAGGTTTATTTGACTTTCATGACAATCTCTGCTGGTCAACAATTATCTGCATTTGTTTTTTCTGAGCACATGGAGGCTCTCAGAGGCAAAATTATTTTCCCCTGAATCAAACAGCTGATAAGATTCAAACCTAGGACTGGTTTCACTGTCCCTTCCCATTGGTTAGGACAGAACTACTCAAATACCAAGGTCATTACCATCACCTGCAGATGGCACTGCCCTGGACCCCACTTGCTTAAAAAGCAGGAAAACAGGGTGGGAACTGAAGAAAGGCTCGAGGGAATGCACAGAAGTAACAAGAAGGCTGAATGGGGGATAAAAAGTGACTTTTTCTTTGACTGTCACTGATATAGTATTCTTTTAAATAAAACCAACTTATAAAAGAAGTAGCAGAGCTTAGCTGTTTAGAGTTCAGGCCCTGGAATGGAAACCAACCAGTTTTCATCATTTCCCAGTTGTGTTTACTCTGGACGACTTTCACCAGAACTAAGAGAAAACACTGCGTGTCAATGGCTTAGCTCAAAACACAGGAACCTCATTAAAACATTGGTTAGCTCTTCTACAGCCCACATAGTGAGTATAAAGAGTAGGGTGGGAGTCTTCATTTTCATCTAAATTGTTTACACTTTTTTTTAGTTTTAGTATATTTATTTTTTAATTATAGTAAAATACACATAACATAAATTTACCATCATATCCATTTTTAAGTGTTTAGTTCAGTGGCATTAAGTATATTCACGTTGTTGTGCAACTACCATCACCATCCATCTCCAGAAATTCTATCCCCATCAAACACTAACTCCCCATTCCCCCTCACGCAGCCCCTGGCAACCAACATCCTACTTTCTGTCTCTATGTATTTTACTACTCATTAATTTTTTTTTTTTTTAGTAAATGCGCTTCTATTTTATTTTATTCACCATATAATACCAGGCCTTAGGCACCTCTTCCTCTAGAGGGGTTCTACAGGTTCTTAAGTAAAACAGTTCATTAACTCAATTACCAACATAGCCATCGAGGGCATGAGAAACTACATCCTTCGAGGCTTCTCATAAACCAAGTCTGGGAGGCATTATGGAGAACTCCATCCAGCTTGAACAACCAGCCTGTCTGCTGGTTACCGACAACTCCTGGATATCATGTTTTTTTGTTTCATCCTCCCCGGAGGAAGGCAAAGGGGGAGAGAGAGAGAGAGAGAGAGAGAGAGAGAGAGAGAGAGGTGAGACAGAAACACTGGCTGCCTCCAGCATGAGCCCCAACCAGGGATCAAACCTTAAACCTGGGTATGTGCCTTGACTGGGAATCGAACCCGAGACCTTTTGGTAAATGGGACAACGCTCCAACCAACTGAGCCACACCAGCCAGGGCTCTGAGTATCTTCTTTTAAGTGAATATTAATGGTTTTGTTTTCATCTGCGTATCTGGTTATTTCATGAGCAAAGACATCAATAGGTTTGACAAGGACAAACACATGAACTTTTTCCTAGTGCCTATTCTAGTAAAATAATGCTTCTTAGCGTTCTTACACCACATCATCTGAGTGGGTTTCAGCTCCCAAATTAAATTACAAGCTGCTTGAGGGATAGAACTGTGCCTTTTATCTCTTTTGAATCCACCCCAATGTCCAGAATGATGCCCAGCACAGAGTAGGTGCTCAAGAAATGATGGTGATGGTCTTTGTTGGAAGTCAGAGAGTGGCTGAATCTCCTTAGGTGGCTCCATCTTCCGTCACCACCCCCATGCCAGACCCACGTGGAGTCTGGGAGGCAGAGGCCTTAGGACCTGGCCCTTCCTGCCCTTCTCTGGAGCAGCTTCCTCATCGCTCGGGAGGCAGCCGCCCCACTGCAGCCCAACCACTGCCACTGCCACGACGGACAACCAGTGTGCGTGGCAGCTGGGCTCCCTCACTTAATTTTTTAACTTGTGTGTTTTTCACACTTTAGTAGTAAATAAAAAGATGTTATGTGTATATCCATTGACGTGGAAAGGCGTTAATATATTGAGTGAACAAAAAAGGATACATATGTTACCAGTGTTTTGGTAAAATATGTGTAAAAATAGAGAAGACATCTATGTATGGAGAGAAAAAGAGCCTCAGAACATACACAAAATGTTAACAGTGGTTATTTCTAGGTGGTGTAATTATCAATAAATTTATACTCTGGGTTTGGGGAGGTTTTCATTTTTCAGTTTCTTCACATTATAGAATTTTTCAACAGTGATCATGGATTTGTTGCATAGGAAAGTATGTTTCTTTTTTTAAAAATAGTTTCATTGATTTCAGAGAGGGAGGGAGAGAGAAATAGAAACATCAATGATGAGAGAGAACCATTGATCGGCCACCTCCCGCACATACCCCACTGGGGATCGGGCCTGCAACCCGGCATGTGCCCTGACTGGGAATCAAACCATGACCGACGGTTCACAGGTCAACGCTCAACCAGAGGTGGGGGAGCATCACTGGCCGGGCAAAACGTATGTTTCTTAAGAAACAAAATCAATATGCAAGCTAACTAAATTAATGACTGAACTGAGTCTTCTGAACTAGAGTTACCAAAAACCGTGTGCCCTGGAAAATCCATCGGGCCCAGATTAGTAAGCAGGTGGTCACTAAATTCAGATCCAACTCACTTCTGACATTTGCTACCAAGTGTCTAAGGTGCACTGATATTTAGCAAGGAAGGAAACTGGGACGCGGGGAGGTGAGGAGACCCGCCTGAGGAGAAAACTAAACAAAGGGGCACTGAGGCAGGAAGGTGGGGTCCCCTCCCAGAACAAATGTGAAGAGGCAGGGCCGGGTCCCTGGAGAATACGCACTCCACATCTCCCCACCTGGGTCCTCAGGCATCTCAGAAGGGTGGCCATGGACCACACCGCCCTCTCTCCAACTCCCATCAGGTGGAGGCCCTTCTGGCC